TCCAGGTTGGGAGGAAAGAGGGGAACAAGGGAGTGTGAGCAGCTGCGTGGTTCTTGGCCGCTGGCTGGGGTTAAACCACAACATTGTATAATTGTAGGTGCTTACATACTGGATGGATTTATGCTGTTATTTTTGTTTTTCCGTGCCTGCAACTGTTGTCAAAGCTAGTTTCTATGATATTAGGTTACTTCCAAGCCTGTAAAATAGCCCTTATTTTTGTACTGGATCCTGGTTTTTTGAAGCAGGTTCTCATCCTGTGTTGTGTGGTACAGTGTAGCCATCATCCTCAGTGGAAATATAAAAAAAGGACTTAGCCCAACTTTCCCCTGCCCCTTATCGTGTTAATTTCAAGCATCTTGAATTATAAAGATCCTTAAGAAAGGGAGGACAGAAACACTGAAAGGTATAGTGGCAGAAAGGGGATACCAAGTACCTTTACCAATGTGTTCAGGATTAGAAGTGTTACAGCAGCAGCAATTAATGAAAATCCCTTATCCTCTAAATATATGGATCAAGTATAAGAAGATTGAGTCTTCAACTAACCTCATCAGCTTGAATATTCTCCCAAAGCATGTGCAGATTACAACCTTGCACATTATGTAAGACAGACCTCAAGGGTAGCATACTTGAGCGAGGAGATTTCCGTACATGGGACTAGATAAAAGACTGAAAAAGAAAAGGAGATTCTTATTGTAAGAGCACAGGCCTTAGTGGTTTCTTATGTCAGTGACAGCTGAACAGAATTGAAGTCAGCTAGGGGAGAAGAGTGGTAATGTGTCATATAACATCTTTTATTAAATAATTTTGCAGAATAATCAGCAGTTATATTCAGGAAGGTTCTAGTGGTTTTCTTCGGTTAGTGTGTTACATGACATCACCATTGTCCAATTATATATAGCATATTAAGTGATCATTGGAAAGTGTGAAATGCCTACATAAGAAATTGAAAGCATTCTTATGCACAAATCCCCTTGAATGGAGCAAAGTAAAACTAGAATGCATTTGGACTGGATACTGCTCTTGAAGCCTATTTTGCCGGAATATTTTTTCTTACTAAATATGCAGTTATTTATGTGACTGTAAGAATTTGAAAGAAGCATCATCTTTCTTATATTTTAAAATATATACGTTTTCAAGCTCCTTCTCACTCAGGATCACCTTCCCAAGTCCTTCTTCAAAAGCATTGTAATTTGTATACAATTTGTAGATAATATCAATCTATTTTTTCTGAGTTCCCACCAAAGGTATATTTTTAAAGGAAGTCTTGAAAAAAAAAAAGGCAGCAAAATAGGCAAGATCAGTACTTATGGACATATATTCATAGACATTAAATAAACTTATACTACATTTAATGACATCCACAGTCATTTCTAAACATTACGTGATAGTGACTTTTCCATAAATTCATCTTTCTTTCCTCTATCCATGTCTAAAATCTTCGGTCATTATCCAACTACATAGAGTCAGTGTGTACTCTTCTGAACACAGCTGAGGGATTTAAAAACAGACAGTTTGGTGCAGGTCTCTAGCACATTCATCAGAAAACTGCGTCTCTGTGGCTGTATTTCTCTTTTTGTCAGTGACAAGGAACAACTGTGATTCACAGGGAGAAGTGACAGATCACCATAGCCCTGCCATCTAAGCAGATCCCTTACCACTCAGCCAAGCCATAAACCATTCAGGAGATCTGACAACAGTTTAGATGAAAACACATCCTTGGAAATAACTTCTTAACAGACATATCACTATTTGACTGTTAAATGGCCCACCATGCATGAAAGACAGATCACACTGCTGATGCTGTTTTTTTGAGTTTATATACATTTTGATAGCAGATACCTTACCCCTCAGATTTAATTACAGCATCACAAAATATAAATTTTAAAAAAAATTCATCTTGAAACAACACTTAAAGGAATGAAATACACTGTATTTTTTATGCAGGCATCTCAGTTTTAAAACCTACACTATTTAAAAGGCTGTATGCTAAAAAAAATTATTCACATCTTCATCACTGTAGATTCGCTTATAGCAAATGGATGTTTAAAAAACACAGCAGTATTTAATTTACTACTATTGTACTATATAGCTGTATTAATCATTAGGAGGGGGTTTATTTGTTTTGCTTTGTTTGAAAGACCACCTTGCCTGCTTAATAAAACAAATTATTAGAACAACAGAAGTCTCAATACCACATCCTGTTTGTGGCAGCTTACAGACACACATACACATGCACAGATGTGCATGTGCAAGCACATAATATGACAATATATTTTCTCTTTGGATTTCCAAATAGTGCTCTGAAGACAGTTTGGGCAGCATATTGTAAAGGCCTAGAGACAGGGTCTTAAAGAATTTTCAGTTGTCAAAGCACTCTTAAACACTGCATATATTAACAAGACCAAGTGCATCATAATGACTCTGCCTTAGAGACAACTGTGTTCATCTCAGCTTTCAATCCTTTCAGCTACATAACTATATATAGCAACAAATCTGCCCTCAACTTTCACATTGTGGCCTTTTTGACATTTCCTGTCAAGTGTCCAGAATTTAGCATACATGGCTGGCTCCCTTCCATAGACTATACACACTTAAGCAGGAAGAATCAGACAGTGACTGTGCTGGACACCCTGTCTGTAAGTGTAGGTCACCTTTTTAAAATGAAAAAAATTCCTTCCCTGCCTCAACTAGCTGATGAAGGTTGATAGTAATTAACAGATTGATTTCCTTTTTTAATCCAAAAGTTGTATATAATCAATATATCTCAATCCCACTTTGGGGTGATTTGCATTTCCAAAGTACTGTGTTTTGGACTGCCACTGTATGTCTGGATTTCCAGAGAGCTAACTAGCACTATACAGAAATTCAGAAGTATTATTTTTAACTCAGCATGCAAAATCAGAGGCTTGGTACCTGTTGACACAAGAATGCACTTGAAATGAAAAAAATACCATAACTGACTAGCTACATCTTACAGCTGAAGTTTCTTCAGGAAAAGAATAATGTATTAGCTCTGAAGAGCTTGTTGCAACATTCCCTTTGTACCACTGTGTTTCATTTACAGGCCACAGTAGTTCAAGCTGTCAGCTAATACAGAAACTGCTTTGGCATGTGTAACTCCTCTCACAAAGGTAGTCCAGTTAGCTTTACTAGGGCTTCTCACTTTAGAAGAGTAACTGTATGTTAACATAGACCCATACATATGTGTATGTTTACAAAATGTGAATTTCTGCTGTGCATTTGGGGTTTCTCTTCAGTAAAGTATTATCTGGGAGGTTTAGATGCATCTTTTATCAAAATGACTCTACTGAAAGTTTTTTGTCTAGATCCTTTTATGAAAATTCAGGAATCAGAACT